TGTTCAGAAGGAAGCCAGTATTAGTCTCTCCTTGCCCTGGTGACTCGATGTTCTCACGAGAGCAAAAATACGTGGGAAGCTAGACAAATCACTTTATGATGACAAACTTGTAACTCCTTTCCCTGTAAATCCAGAGAAATACGTTATCAACCTATCTTCCATAACACTTTCGTCACTACAGAAACAAGCCTTATCACTCGGACCTAAATTTTGAGTTCCTCGAAAGTATTTCTCAGAACTTGAAATACATGCACAATTTGAAAAGCTGTATGACCAACTGAAGCCTCTTGTTCCCATTTCCGATGATCATCAAGTTAGTTGACACTGCTCACCAATTCTGCAATGGCCGTAAAATTCAGAAAAGTATCTTAACATCTGAGCACTTTAAAGCTCTAAAAGAGCTAAAACATTATACTGACATCGTTATCCTCAGACGAGATAAAGGTTATGGTGTAGTTATAATGGGAAAAATTGAATACAAAAGTAAAATATTATGCATTCTTGGAAACAATGACAAATTTACCAGAGACTCCACTTCGGAAAATTTGAAGAATGTAAAAAATAAGGTGACAAGTAATCTAGTAAAACTCTTAAGCATGAACGCCATTAACAGAGAGAAATTCAACTCACTAAAGCTCACGGAATTCCAATTACCACACATGTATAGTCCGCCTAAAACACATAAACCTAACATCCCTCTCCGTCCCATAATGTCAATGTGCAGATCCCCAGCCCACAAACTTGCAAAATGGCTAGTGGAAATATTAGAGCCCATTAGAAGAAGCTTCTATGAGTTTGCATTCAAAGATACTTTTGAGTCAATAGATTGTCTTCATAACGTTGATATAAAGGACAAAGTTATGTTTTCCTTAGACGTTGATTCTTTGTTTACAAATTTACTTCTTTTACAGACAGTTGACATTTTATGTGATTACAGCTCTCACAATAATTTCCTATTACCAGTGTCCATATCCTACTTAAAACAGTTACTGCTTGTATGTAATAACAGTGTTAAGCTTGTATTTGAGGGTGAGTACTTTGCCACATCGATGGCGTTGTTATGGCAAGCCCCTACATCCATTGTTAGCTGATATACACATGTCACATGTTGAGTACCTAGCTGAGGACGTAATTGGAAAAGTTTATTTTAATAAGAGATACATGGATGACATAAAAGTCATTTGTGACAAATTGACAGACGCCATAGAAATCCTTAACCAGACCAATAGAGTACAAAACAGCATATCGCTAACATACGTTAAAGAGAATAATGATTGCTTGGCATTTTTAGATAAACTCATAACCAGTAAAACGACCTGTCTACAGAAAGTCCACATGGACGGGACAGTATCTAAATTATCATAATTTCTGTCCACTACAGTATAAAAAGCCGTTATTTAAGTGCTTATTTAGACGCATTCACCGTATATGTACTGCCGATACAATTGAAGAAGAAAGACATCACCTCACTGAAATATTGTTAGATAAAAATTATCCGCTGAAATTCATTAAGCGTTACACAAGTATCAACCAAAGAGCTCTACCGATCCAATCAGTTCCCAAAAAGAATGTTTACATATCCTTGTCGTTCAGGAGTGATCAACAAAGTCTGCTCACTAAACAAAGACTCAAGGTGGCAATTAATAAAACTTACTATGCAGCTAAACTTATCTTCATAGAGAAAACGAGATCTATGCTGGCCTGTAAACCCTCACAGCATCCGAACGATAGTGTCACATCCCACAGTATGTGTGGACACACATACAAAGGGAGGACCCATCGGTCTCTGCAGGTTAAGGCTACAGAACATATCCCAAAATGACTGAAACAACAAATAAAATCGCCGGATACATCTCATCCTGGAAACAGATGTCCAACATCATCTATAGCGAAGCACATTATACAGATTTATCATAAGATTGATTTCAACAATGCCTTTAAGCCCATATATAAAACAAGGTTGGGTCATATACTTAAATTCGAATAAAGCAAGAACGAAAGTGGTTTGTGCAGAATAATATGGTACCATCATTTATTTCGTAGGCTTCTCATCAGCTGCTTACAGCCTAAATACATAATGAGGTTTGCGTACAGAAAAGTTTTAACATACTTGCAAAAATTTTTTACATGTTGCCAGTTGACTAAAAGTTCCACAGTAAGTGAACAGTGCTCAGAAAATTGCGCTTATATAGTTTTTACACATGCAGTTCAAGTTTAAACAAAATAGATGTATGCATACAATGGTAAAGGAGTTACGTAATAAAGACGAAATATGAGTTAGATACAGAGTGACTAATAAATTAGGTAACAATGTACTGAGTTCAACTCACATCATAGAAACAAGAGACAAGCAAAATTACAGAATATAAAAGGGGGTGAGGTTAAAGACAAAGATTACGTAATCAGATGAGAGAATAAAGACATTCAGTTACCAGGGCAAAGAGAGATTAATAACTGCTTCTTTCTGAACACATAAGTCTGGTTTCAAGCGTTTGATAGAGATTGCTTCGGCAAACTTGAGGAGAATGGAACTCCTTTGTCTATTGATAATTTTAAAGGATTTCTCGATTTCTACCTCATGACCCGTGTCGAGAAGATGTCTAGTGATAGCGCTGCTATAAGAGTTTGTTCCCTTGAGACGTAGGCTTCTTGGCACATGTTCAGAAAATCGGAGGTGTGCCTTCTTTCTGTTCTCCATATTATTCTGCAAACACTTCGTTCTTGCTTTATTCAAATTCATCAAGGGGAATAAATGCATGAAGTTTCTCAAAAATACTTAAATTCGTTGAATCCTTGGCTATAAAAAGATTTAAACCTGTCTTATCAGTCCAAAAGTTATTTGTCATTACTTTAGACCTGCCTTGGTAATCCAATTTAGAACCAAGGTTCAATTTACTTCACAATATTTTCAACCCCTTCTTTGTTTTTTCTTTCTTTCTTACCCACACCTATGAGCCATCTCGCTACCAATTATTTGTGACCTTGACCTATACACAATCTGACCTGTATTGTAGCGATTCACGCCTTCTTGCTTTCTACATAACTGTGTATGACAAGTACATGTGTGGTGAGAATCCCTTAAAAATGTGTTGCGCAAATACATTACACTTTTCAGATACACCACGTCTTCTTATTGTGTTGTCGAAATTCATCAAGGGAATTAACTGTTTTAAATTATTTGATTGTGTAACCCTCACCTCTAACCTCTTCCCCTTTTACTGGGATGTATGTAATCTTGCTAGTTTATTTTATCTCTACGATTTCAGTTGAAATCACAGTTACTTATCGTTAAATTACTCAGTTCCTGATTCTAATACGCAACTATTTTTCCACTGTACCCAAATATTTGTTTTTTTGGTTATAATTTTGTTTAAACTTCAACCTTCTATGTATAAGCAATATAGGTGTAATTTCTGAACATTGTTTGTTATTTTTTTGTAGTCTCCTCTTAACTAGTATCACATCAACTTTACAAGAATATTAAAAAATTTCTCAATTTTCAGGTTGTGCGTAGTCGATGAGAAAACGATGAGATAAATGATGGTACCGAATTATTTCTGGATAAACTGTTGTTCTTGTTTATATTGGCCGCACAAAGCGCATACTTTCCAAAAGCATCTCTGAACATTATTCGGAATGGTTAGCAAAAGGAAAATTCAAGAAAATTACTAGCTAAATTCTCGAGCATTTGGTGAACTCAAGCCACGTAGCTCCACCAGAGTCGTCTTTCAAGATCATCTACAAGGTGACGCCAAATGGTAAAAAGTGTCAAGTTTCAGCTTTTGTGTATGGTGGAGGCGCTGGCAATTCGTCCATACAACACCAAACTCCGTATACAAAAAATAAGTTTGTCTAGTATCTTATTCCACCGTGGTCTTCACTAGTCCTTCCCTGTAAAAAATTTAATTTTTTAAAAATTTTACTTTTAGTTTGCTTTTGCTTGAATACTTAATTCACTATTATCACTCTCATATATTCCTTTTGTACATTTTCACACCCTCTCCACACTTGTTAAATTAATACTCAACTACCTTTATTCTCACTCAATAGCAGTTTTAACCTTATCAAATTTCTAACTTTGTGCTGTTGAGTACCACGCAATTCGCAACTTTTATTTTTTACTTCTAAAGCCACTTCCGAGTAATTATATCAATTTGTCACCCCCTATTACTCAATAATAGACTACTATACATTTTTGGTAAATATAAATATGACTGTACAGCCTCTGAAGATGATTTCGTCGATAAAGAAAATTTTCTTCTGCTGAATTTGTCTTTTATTTTCTTCATGACTCAGTGGGTATTTTCAGTGATTTGTTCTTGCTTTCTTCTGATTTTTTATTTTCTGATTAGATGTATATGAGTACTCTGAGACAGAATGCTGAAGAATACATTTCGCAAGACTATCAGCGAGTAACAGCCAAGTCCAATACAATAAACTACAAGCATTATTTGATTCTCAACCTTTATAAGCCTGATTCAGCAGCTATGTGACGATGCTAAGTGTCAAATAATTCACAATGGAAAACTCAGCGAAGATTCTGTAGCAAAGTTATGAGTAAGACAAGGCGCTTCCTACTATCACCAATGATATTTCTGACTGTGGTGAAATGGATCATGCAACAGTCGGTGGAGAGTGAGAAGACAAGTACTTGTTGGACTGATAAGAAGACTTCGTGGACGACTTATGTCTAGTATAGCAAAAACTGAAAAATCTTCAGTCGAAAACCGACAATTTGGTTGAGGAAGTTGGCAATGAAGACGCGATTTCAGGTGAACATAGAAAAGACAGATTTGATGGAGATACCAAGACAACAACAAGTACCATCAAGGGAGGAAATTTAAAAGAAGTCATCTCTTTCACTTAATTTTCTGAGCAGAATCGTTTGAACCATAGGCGACACAGATGAACGTGCCTAATGCAGCTAAATCTGGATGTACACCACTGTCGCCACCACCACCACCAAATAGACCAGATGGTAATTTTAAATTTGAATTAGGTCAATCTTGTTGCATATCAGAATTCATACCTGCGGCGGCTGCTGCCGCAGCTGACTGAGCAGCAAAACTAGCCATTGTAGCCACTAGATTATGTGCATCCATTGGTGAGACACCAGGTAGGCTTCCACTACCACTGACCATACCACCAGAGGCAAAATTTAATGGAAAACCAAAAACTCCAGGTGGACCACCTTGTGATACAGCAGCGGCTGTTGCTGTTCTTTGTTTTTCATCCAAATTTTTGTCACTTATAATGGCTGATAGTGCAGCTGGAGATAGCATAGGAGGAAATGGAAGTTGTTCAGTTGCTCCGTCCAATGGAAACACTAATGGTCTGGGATTGTTTGGATTAGGAAGGGATATTGAAGTTGGTGAAAAGGGAGTGTGAGCTCCAGAACCAGAAGGACCATGATATGGAGTGGATGTGTTAGAAGATATGGGAGATGGTATGGATGCACCTGTTAAGCAATCGCTGGTCCCAGACGGTAAGGATGTGGTTATATTATTCATATGAGCAGGCATTTGAGAGTAGGGATAATTACTGCTGTTGTTAAATAGATCACCGGATAAAGGATTAGTTGCAGGATTTGTGTTTCCCGGAGGAAAACCTGCAGTAGCTAAGGCCGCCACTACTGCTGCAACTGCTGGGTGAGATTGTGCAAGACCAGATAGGAAAGCTGGGTTATTAGGTCCTGGAATTCCAGGAAGGGATGACTGAACACCAGGAATGCTCGAATTGCCTGAAACACTGCTATTAGTACATGGGAAAGTGATTGAACTACTCATATGTGGTAGAAAAGGATTGTGAGGTAGAAGCATATTGCTTAAAGCAGGAAGTCCACCACTTCGGCTGTTAATTCCATACATGCTGGTGCACTGAGTCTACCAAGCCTAGTTACACATGGTGTAGTTTGAGAAACTCCTCTGGAATCACTCATAGGTAAAGTGTCGGATGGCAACTGCTCCAATAATGATGGGACTAGATTGTGGGGAAATGCATTATTTAAACCCCCAAATCCGGAATTCATTAGCAGCTGCTGTTGTTGTTGCATAGTCTTGAAGAAGTCCATTTGATCGACCATTGCAGTAAGTATCAAAAACAAAGTTCGGATCTTCAATACCAATGTTAAGTCAGTCCTTACATATGGTTCAGAGACTTGGCAAGCCATCCAAAGCATTCCCAACAACCCGCTGCAGACTTTTATCAACATCTGCCCTCACAAGCTCCATACTGAAGACAAAATAGCCCATCAGGAAGGACTAGCAGCAAGGAAATGTGAGAACGAGTTAACCAACAACCTATTGCTCAACAAACAAGTCGAAGCAAATACAGACGAATCGGTTATGCTTTGAGGAGAACGCAGAGTGACATCACACGACAGAACCTCGAGTGGAACTCAAATGGGAAATGATGAGTTGGGTATGGGTCCGAGGGGGAAATAGAGGAGATCGTGTGAGATGAAAGCTATTGAGCAACCTTAGAGCCAAGTGAAGGGGACTGCAGAGAACAGGATGAAACAAAGATGTGCTGTCGAAGCCTTATGTTTCAATTAGAACCTAAGGGAATAATAATAATGAATTTGACTCATGAGTTAACCACTAAATGGTTTACTTTTTCACACAGTTCGATCATTCGAGCTGCTGTAATCGTTCAAAATAGTTACAGTACAAATTTGTCCCAGTCACAAATGCATGCTGATTAAAATTGTAAAGAAAACATTGATTACAACTCAGTTAAAAGAAGGAGCCTCCTAGTTATTAGTTCAACAATCTTTTGACGTCACCTAACAGTTAATCATATCTTTGTTTTTATACAGCTACCAATGTAAATCAGAAATCTTGAACTGGAAAGTTACTATTCACAAAGGATGAAGAATCTTTTAAGACCTCCTGAAACTCAAACAGCATTCCTTTTAGAAGTCATTATAACCATCATTAGCCCAATTCTATAAACTCGACACCTACACATGTGGTCCGCGTTCGATTCCCGACCGACACACCTCTAAACCTCGTCTAGTGTACTATCCTGTAGATAGTGAACCTGGAATACAAGGGAGGTTGGGTGAAAGGCTAGCATCCTCACCCCGTAAAAAATACCACTGTAACAACAGAAGGCAAGAGTCAGGCAACAGATCATTTATTAAGGAAATCAACGCATATTTATATATTTTCATGTATATTACAATGGATATTTAAGCAAACAAACACAGTCTTCCGATTGGTTGTTTCTCACGTAAAGTTAATCTTTCATCTATTTGTGACTGTTTCTTGAATGTCAAATCCTCTATATATTAACTGCATCCGCCTACGCAAAGTCAATCTTTGTTCACATTTTCTCACGACAAATCTTGGGAACGTAAATATTGACGTAAATTACTGTCTACCAATTTGGCTAGTAGACAGCTCTCACCACACTCGTCCCCCCGCCAAATAGCTTCGCGCGCAGGCGTTCCGACCTTCTGGGTGATGAATCCTCTCGTTGATGATTGTTACAGCCCGGCTTGTCCCAGTGCACCCATCGTTGGATCTGACTGGCGTTAACTCGTTTTTGTTTGTCACCTCTTCTGATGGTATATACTTGACCCCGTCTTTTTGTGACTGTGTATGGTCCTTCCCACTTTGGAAGGAGTTTGCGTGAACCTGGCCCGCATCCGACAGCATATCTTCTGTCTCTACACTTCACTTGGTCCCCGACTGAGAAGGTAATGCACTGAGTCTTTTCTCTCAGCTGAGACTTCGCGACATCCCTCCGCTGCTTTTGCATTACATTCTTGACGGCTTCTTTCCGTTCTGCTTTTAATTTCGTCGTACTCCACTTTTGGTGAAGGGGCCAGGTTTCGTTGTGTATCGGTAATCGTGGTTGTCTACCATACATCAGTTGAAAGGGTGACTTTTTCGTTGTTTCCTGGGTGGTGGCACGATGTGTTAGTAGAATCAGTGGCAGCTTCGTTTCCCAGTTACCGCCCTTCGAGGCCAGCCACTCCTTCAGCGTACGGTTGTTTCTCTCCGTCAGGCCATTCGTTTGTGGATGGTATGGGGTCGTTCGGATCCTCTTGATGCCAAGCTGTTGCAAACGGGAAGTAAATTCTTCACTTTTGAAACACGGACCTTGGTCTGTCAGTATTGTCTTTGGTACGCCATGGTCTGCAACGATGTGTCTAACTACTGCATCTGTCACGGTCCTTGCGCGTTGATCTGGGATTGCTACGGCGTCTACCCATCGTGTCGCGTGTTCCGTCATCACCAAGAGGTACTGATTACCATTGGATGTCTGAGGAAATGGACCCATAACATCTACGGACCACAAGTCACCTATCGCCGTAACTGGAATCGACTGAAGTGGTGGTCGTATGCACCGGTCGCCTTTCATTAGCTGGCACCGTGGACATCCAAGTACATATCTTGCTACGTCCTCTCTCATACCTGGCCAGTACATACTTTGTCTCAAGAGGTCGGTTGTTCTGGCCACTCCGGTATGTGCTAGCTGGTGGCATTCTTCTACCATGTCGTGGCACGACGATTGAGGTATGACAGCTAGCCAGCTTCCGTCGTCCTCTCGCCAGGTCAGAGTCCCGTAGACATTCACTCTCAGTCGATCTCTCTGTCTGAGTAGTGTGGTTAGCTCCTTACTCGCTGTAGCTGGATCCACTTCTATTCCGTTAGTGATCACCTGTATTACTGTATTCAACGTATCGTCCAACCTTTGTCTGCGTGCCAGTCTTAGTGGGTCTTGTTCTACTGCATGCACTCCGTACGCGACCTCGGGCAACTCAGACTCGTCCTCTGGTCTCGATAACAAATCTGCCAAGACATTTTCATTTCCAGGAACGTGTGAGATGGTAAAATCGTACTCCTGAAGATGCAACATCCACTGTGCCAATTTCCCTCGTGGGTCTCTCGCTGTCTTCAGAAACTGTAGCGGCTTATGATCCGTTTCGATGTGGAACCGCCGGCCGAGTAAATAAGGTCTCCACTTGTCGATTGCCCATACCATCGCTAAACATTCTTTCTCTATCGTTGAATACTTTCGCTCTGGCATACTCAACGATTCCCCCACCCTGTCTTAGGACCGCACCTATGGCGTAATCACTGGCATCTAGGCACACTGTGAACTGTCTTCCAGGTACAGGTAGCTTTAGTGTCATTTGTTGGTGGTCGAGCAGCTGTTTAATCCTGTTGAATGTCTTCTGCGATTCCTCCGACCAAACTTCGGTTCACCTAGTAGCCTGTACAGAGGGGCTGCTATCTCATTGAAGTTCTTCACGAAGCGACTATAAAACGCTGCTCTACCTAAGAATTGTCTCAATTTTCTCTTTGAATTCGGGGCCGGGATCGTCTTTATCGTCAAGATTTTCTCCGGTAGTGGTTTAATCTCACCATTTCCCACTTTATGTCCCAAAAGAGTTACATTCTTTTTGGCTATCTGAGACTTGGTTTTGTTGACGCGCAGTCCAAACTCTTCGATGCGTCGCAGCACGGCTTCCACATGGTTCACATGATCGTTTTCGTTTTGACTATATATGATGAGATCATCACCGTACACCTCAACGTTTTTCAAGTTCTTAAGTAGTAGCGTCATCAGTCGTCTGAACGTGAACGGTGCACCTGCTAGTCCAAACGGCATGCGTTTAAATCGATATTGTGTCTGACCCACGATGAATGCCGTCTTATCTCTATCACCTGGCTTTATAGGTATCTGCCAGTATCCTGAGCGAGGATCGAGAACTGAAAACAAATTTGCGCCTTGTAGGCGATCTAAAGTTTCTACTACTGTTGGCATGGCACACGGTCTTAATTCTGTCATACTGTCGAAAATCAACGCAGAATCTATACTTCCCATTCGCCTTTTTTACTAACAGCACTGGAGAGTTGTACGGGCTATCAGCTTCTTCAATAATATCATCTTTTAACATCTCTCGCACCTGTCGCTCAACTTCGTCTTCTAAATGACATGGAACTCTTCGCGTGGTAAATGACGTTACTTTCGGGCCACTTAACGGAATTTCATGATTCACCTTATCGCAATAACCGTATGGGTCCCCATCTCCAGTAAACAGTTGATCGTATTTGCTGAGTAACTCTGCTATACTTCGGACTTCCGACGCCGCAATCCCTGCTACCTCACTATTCTCGTGCATGCTAAAACACCCGTACTTCCTAACGACAACCCTTTTCTTCATGTTAATCACTGCATCCACTTCTCGCAAAAAGTCAGCCCCAAGGATTGTTCGGTGCAATTCAGGTACAACCAGGAATGGGAACGGCACGCAATCCTCTCCAGTTCTAATACTGCAGTCTGGAACTCCCGCGATTCTTAACACGTGACCGCCTACTGTCTGCACTGTCAACGAACACGGTCTTATACTCTTACATAGACTCCTATCTACGAGTGAGACTGCAGCCCCTGTGTCGATTAAACACACCAACTCACGATCATTTACCCGTAACTTCGAATATATTGCCCCCTTCTCCATCGCCCCTATTACCTCAAGTCTCGGAACACAGGAAGAAGACACAGTATATCTTTTAAAAATTCTTCTTTGTCGTCTTTCCGGGCAGCGGTCTCTCCAGTGCCCCAGTTTGCCACATGCGAAACACCGGTCTCTCCGCACGCTCAGTCTCAGCGCGGCCACTTCACGTTGCAACTCTTCGATTTGTTTCTCACACTGCTCGGATTTTGGTGGCTCTACCGCTGCAACCGTCTTATTCAACAGTTGTCTGGTCACCTTCGCAAGCTCTCCGATGTCCAGTGGCTGTACAGCGTTAACCAGATGTAGCTGTTGGGATATATGTTCTGGGACACTCTCCATAAACTGGGATGCCAACATTTGTGCCTCAGAATCTTCGTCCAGTGTTGGTAGAGCGCG